TTTTTCTCATAACCGCTGTTCCATTTACTCAAGCTCAGTACGTATGTTATGAATTGTTTTTTTGTCTGTCCGTCTTGCTTTCAATCTGTCCCGTGAGTATCAGATTGTCTAAGCCTCCTATTCTCCTTGAATTCATAACGCTGGATACCTACGTGGGGGTCTGCTTTGACTAACAGTGGTTCGGCTTGTCCATCGGCTATATTCAAGAAACTGGCTCTCTCCAAATCGCTGTGGATGAAGGCAACTGCTACGAGTGTGTTACGCTTTCTCAAAACTTGGGTCTAATTGGATGCAGATGTGTTTATGATCCGAATCCGTTTGAAAGAGTTCTGAAAACAAAAAATAAAAAAAATGGCACATACCAGACAAAATTACGTTTTACATTTGTCTTCCATCTATCGTCCGATAATGGTGATTACTCAAATTATTGACATAATATATAGATAGATAGATAGATAGATAGATAGATAGATAGATATAGATAGATATTGATAATATTAGTGGTCAATATATATATATATATATATATATATATATATATATATATATATATTTAAAAGACATTTTTATGTTTAACGTTGTTATTTATAGATACAAGTATTTAAGCAAATGCTCTGTTTATGATAAACAGTATTAAATAACATTGACCGGCCTTTTTGAATTTGAAGGCTTTTTGAATTTGTAGGTCTGATGAATTGGATCGTGATTACGATTCCAATGTAATAAATTATAACCATGGAATATTAGTCTGAGGCTTTTATATTATATATATATTTGTGTGTATATATATATATATATATATATATAGATATAGATATATATGTGTGTGTGTGTGTGTATGCGTGTGTGTGTGTGTGTGTGTAACAGTTTCTGTTAACATCTTGGCATTACCAATGAGGGATTAAAAATAATTCTTATAGGTAGTAAGTTGCTTCGTTTGCAGGAAGTGGGTGGTGCCAAGAGGTTTCTTCAAATCCTTGTCTATATTGTCTTACACACCATTATTGATGCGAACCGTATGCGGATAGTTTTCTGCATATCTAAGCACACATCCAAATGTTAAGAGTTAAACAAAAACACATATATGTGTGTGAGAATATATGTGTTTATTTTATGCCAATATATATGCATAGCGCTTTTTTTACCTACACCACCCATGCATATATGCATATATATATAAATATATATATATATATATATATATATATATATATATATATATATATATATATATATTCATGTTTCATTAAAGAATATAGACAAGTTTTGTCTATTTATTTTAAGTAATTTCCTTTCATATTGTCTAATAAGCTTAATAACATTATCATTGAAATACGAAAGGAATTCACCATATTGATACATGTTTAAATCTAATCTAAGCTTTCGTCGCATCTAGTGACGGCACAACATGACCACGCGAGATTGAAAACGAGAAGTATTAAGTATGGGAAATCGTTGGTATAAACCATTGCCTTCTGTTATCAATTATAGGCATTTAAGAATATTTGTGGAGATTTCATAGTTTATTTTGTTTAGGTTAGGTTTCAACTGTTTTATGTATATAGCTTCAAGAATTTTTAGTTTTTGTTTATTGATTTCATGTTTAAGTATAGTTGTGTTTTCAACAAGGATTTTTCGGAATTGTGTACGAGGCCAGGTATGTTGATTTAAATGCCTAAAAATGTTAGTTATCATTCAAATGTAGAGTCAAGCGTATATTATGTAATGAAAGATGCATCAATGAAAAATTGCTGCATATATATATATATATATATATATATATATATATATATATATATATATATAATAAAGAAATATAGTCTTAAGGTGTGCTATATTTATGGAATAAAGTGCTCAATATCAGAGATAGAGCGTGTGTAAATATAAAAGTGAACATAAAGTCAACACTTATAGGCGACAGTCTGTTTCATGCATGAAAAACAGACTGTCGCCTCAAAGTGTTGACATCTATGTTCACTTTTATATATATATATATATATATATATATATATATATATATATATATAAAATAAATCCTGCGGAGATATGTAAAGTACCATGTTGAGAACTGGCGCGGGCTAGCTGCCCTTGATGAGGGTGAAAGGAGACTCTCCGAACTTTGGTTAGCAATCCTTTTAGCGTTGGTTTCACAATAAAAAGACTTCAGATGGGAAGGAAAACTCTTGACAGCTTAACCCGTCATTATATTGCATGTGTCTGGCGAGATGCGTGTACTGGCTGGTAGTGACTGTGATCAGGAGAGGTTAAACATCGCGATTATAACACATGATGACTGTCGTTCGGACTTTACGTAGCAAGTTTTTGCAACGTTACTTTTTTATCGACAGATCCAAAAAGTGTGCATGGTCCGACACAGGCCTTCACCACTTGAAACAAATCATTATATTAGTTTTCTGACAACTATATCTAATTAGTTCCGCACATATCCGGCTATTGCGAAAAAGTCTACGAAACAATATCAAATTCATCTTGGCACTTGGAATGTACAAACTCTCTAGGACAACAACTCAGCACTAGAAAGAAAAACAGCTCTGGTCGCATTGGAGCTGAAAAAGTAAAACATTGATATAGCTGCACTGAGAAGTAACCATCAAAAAGTCTAAAGTTGCAGACATTATGTTCTTAAACTGAGAACATTGTTCAAAATTAGCTGCTAGAGAGGAGGACTAATATTACATAGTTTAGCAGTTTTCTTTGATTCTAACGAAATTTTTCTATTTCTTAATACTTTGATCAGCTTTTGGAAGGTACTTTCACTATCCCACTGAACGTACGGATTTCGGTGTCACATTTTATATCTATCTTTTTTATATAAATGAAATAGCTAGGTTGATAGGTAATAAAAAGGGTGGGGGAGATAGATAGATAGATAGATATATAGATATAGGAAATGGCCAATTTTTTCACACACGGAACGTAAACAAGTAATTAAAACACTTCCTAGATATTGTAATGTTCGTACTTGCTTGATTTGGACCCAACACAAACTACTGGAGAGAACAGATTGTTAACCCTTACCTGTTTTGGTGGAAATAGGTACCGATCTTTAGAAAAAAGATGCGCCCATACACAACCAAACAAATCGAGATAATGCAAAGATAGGTTGGGCTGTAATTCCCTGGCCCCATAATTTTATCTGTATGAAAATTTAATTTTTAAATATAATAAAATTTAATATTTAAATATAACACAGTTTTGATGGCTGTCGCTTCGTGGACGACAAGATGATCGAATTTCAAATCAAAATTGTTTGTTGGTTGTTTGTTTTGTTCAGCGTTATATCAACCACGATGCGTTATTTAATGCCGAAATCTAAATATTTTATACAGTTTTATGGCTTTAACTAAAGATATTACAATTTCAGTTTAAACATATCTTACTTATTATAAAACGCAGATGTTGTGTGTGTGTGTGTGTGTGTGCGTGTGTGCGTGTGTGCGTCTGTACGTTTATATATTGGATCGGATTTCCTACATTTTTCAACTGATTTCAACAAAACTTCATAGAACTGCGTAACATTGCCTTGTGGTGGTTCTGACAGCGCCCCAAATTGGAAAAACAGAATTGTTTTTGCACGAAATCAATTTGAAAACACGATTAAGTCGCCAGAATGGAAGGGGTGCAACTCATATCGAGTTATACTTATTATAAAACCCAGGTCGTTTGTGTGTGTGTGTGTGTGTGTGTTCCTTTATACATGGGATCGGATTTCCCTACATTTTTCAACTGATTTCAACAAAAAATTCACTTTTTTTTGGCAGGTAGTGTTTCTTATTGTCCTGCACACTTTTTTTTCTTTTTGTTTTTACATTCAGAATGCTTTAAAAAATTCCATTTACAAGACAATTGCTTATAATAAAATTCTATTCAATCGGTAGACTCATAACGATTGAAAACAATGTTTTTGCTTGAGTTTGGGTTTGACCAATTCGTAAAAAAAAAAAACAAAAACTAATTAACATATGCGTGTCCCTCAACCTTAAACAATAATCTTTGTCAATTTTATTTTTCAGTCTTTATGTTGGTCGATACTTGATCTATCTCTTACTGTTACATCCCCGGGCAACGCCGGGCTCTACTGCTAGTTTATAGATATATAGTTTGTAGTTGATCTATTGTAGATGTTATATGTTTTGGTATAAATTATTTCTTTAAAGTAAGGTATTATATTTAAAGTTTCTGTATTTTCAAATAGTTTTCTTGTGGTGGTTTTCTTGTCGTATTTATTTCTTGCAGGTGTTTAGTGAATGCATTAAAGAATTTCTTTGTCTATTTAAAAGCAACAATTATTAGAAAATGTATTCAGTTTTAATAAAGGAGTCAAAAACTTTTCAGAGTTTGCCAGACTGGATAGGAGAATGATTGTGTGTGTGTGTATGTACATTTGCATGTGTGAATTACAAATCTAAAATATCTATGTCTCTGAGATGAGGTATTATGATTACTTACATTATTTACATTATTCGGACTATTATCCTTATCTTCATTATCATATTCACAAGGTTTCGGCCGTTGTACGCCCCGGCCTTCTTTACGATCTGTCCATATCTCTGAGATGAGGTATGATGATTACTTGCATTATTTACATTATTTGGACTGGTATCCTTATTTTAATTGCCTTATTCACAACGTTTCGGTCTTTATACGCTCCGGACTTCTTCTGTTGATTGGAATTTCAGACCAAACCCTTTATTTCGTCCACCGGGTTAGGGTGTTCAAATTCCACGTGCCATACCTCTTCCGGCTCCCTCAGTTATTTCCCTTTAACTCAACTCTCCAAGTTTTGGTTCACCACTGCTGTGGCCTGGTATTGAACAAATGCCTCTTTGGTTCTAGTCACGGGATCTAACCAACGTCTTTATCCACTGGGTCTTGTGTCTTCGAACACATGGCCCAGTGGATTAAAATATCTAGGAAGTATTTTAATTATTTGTTGACGTTCCGTGTGCGAAAGTAAAGTTTGCAGTCATATACAAGAGATGTGCATTTCCTATATCTATCTATCTATCTATCTATCTATCTATCTATCTATCTATCTATCTATCTATCATAAGTTCTGAGTACCATAGATGAAAGTAATATTTATTTTGATATAATACGTGGGTAAAGGCCAAAACATAATGAAGATGAAGTTAACAATCCGAATAATGTAAATAATGCAAGCAAACCTAAAATATTTCTAAAAAAAAAAAAACACTTCGAAATAATTCTTTTAAAAAATAATGTCCTTAAGGATGAATAAAATCATATAATTATCTTTTTAGGATTTTAAAAATTAACTTTCTTTTTGTCTTGTCTCCCAGTTTATAATTTTATGGTTCAGCCCAATGTAAGTTTTGTCCTGACTGAGTGAGAAGAGAATGTATTAAACAAACTGTGTGTTTATAAGTGTGCCTGTCTGCGTTTGCTTGTGTGCGAACATAATACTTCGCATACACACAACACAGCCATAGACACATACATTATATGCGCGCAAGCAAAGTCGCACGCAGCCAGGGCTTAGTGTGAAAAGCGCTCATGATTATGAAAATATCAAATGCTGTTAATATGTTGGTTCAGAAATCTAGAAGAGATTTTTTTAAACCATTTCACCCCATCTAATGCAATAACGCCACTAAGACAGCAAGCGTTACCGAGTGTTAGAGAATATAAGGAAAGATATTATTAAAGAGAAAAGACAATACAGGAACAAGAAAACAGAAGATAACGATTGATGTTGCGTTTAAATTTTTGGAGATCAAAGCTAACTGGGAAGCAATAACTTGGAAGAGAGTTCCGGAAGCGGGAAGAACGATAGAAGAAACTGTTAGTATAGAACTTACGGTTACATCTAGCCATTTCAACTGTAAAATTATAAGACCTTGGCCTTAGTCTGGTTCAGCGCTTAAATTCATAAAGTATAAGTACCATAGATGAAAGTAATATTTATTTATTTTTATATATTTATAAAAATGCGGCATAGGACCAAAAGTTGGTGATAGGGGAAGGGTGTGGCCTTCAGTCTGTCTCATCTTACACATAGCTAGCCACGGTCACTGACCCAAACATACCACAGTATTACTTTCACCAAAACAAAACATTCTTACTTGCCGTTCTTACTACAGCTACCATAATATCTCAGAGTCTCTTCGTAGACTTAATTAGTTCCCATATGTGTCACAGAGGAAAGTTCATCAGAACAATTGTCATGAAAATATTTATATAAAAGACACAGGGAAGCTACATTACAGCAATGGGAATGTGACTGAAGCCGACATGCCATGTCAAGGCCAATAAACTTGCAGATTCTTCTTTGGATTTTATCAAGAATCTCTAAACTTAAAACAGGAGCACCAGACTAGATGTGGGAACAATATTCAAATTAAAGGTGAATAATAAACTTATAAATATGTAAGTTAGATTCTGAAGAGAAAAATTGTCTGGCACGTCACACTGATCAAACTTAGCATTGGTATCTTCAATAATTCGCCGAAAAAAAAAAAAACATTAAATGATGAACAAAGGCCGCAAACTCTTTAAAAACAAAGTTTTATTGTCGAAATATTTATGCTATTATTAAGAGGGAAGACCAAATTGTTTTTTTTAATTATTTTTATAAATTTTTAATCCTTTCTAGGACGTTCGAAATTTTGGTTAAATATCTTGTTTTGTTTTTGTTTTTTTTTGTTTTTTTTTATGTTAGCGGTCACGTAATATTTACCATTAGTTTTTTAGCTTTTTTTTTATTTGAAAAACATTAATTTGGAAATTCTTGCAAAAATCAAATACTTGTGAGATTTTAGTGAATCTGTCAGAAACTATTCACAAATGTATGAATGTATTTTTGAAACGTTTGTTTTTTTAGACAGTCATGGTAAAAATATATGTTTTAACATGTGTTAATTACTGTTATGACATTCTGCAATTATTAATTATTTTCTTTTTTAGATTGAATTTTAGGGACAAAAAGAGTGCAGGCTTTGGACTTATCTTCGTCAAAAAAGTACCTAAAAATCAATAAAATATTAGACTTTTGAGAGTATTTATTTTTTCAAAATTACTTCATAGTTAAATAAGTTGGTTCACTTAAAAGTTGAAAATACTGTCACTTCTGTCCTTCCGTCCGATAAATTGCTCTGATGTTAGTTGTCAATACATTAAAGTAAACGACAATTCACACCTCTAAAACAAATTATCACGGTTAGACACGCTTCTCTTATTTTCCATTATTTTTTGTAATGTTTGTTTACAATTACATTAAGTAAACTTTAAATTTTCTATTTTTCTTAAATTAACTTTTGAAAAAAATATAATTGAATTTTACAAGATTTTTAAACGGAGAATATCACATTTGTCTACAAAATTATCAAAAATGGCTGACATGATCGATTATATGGCAAATTTGGTGACTCAAAAAAACAAGATTTTTAACTAAAATTTCGTGCTATGAAGGATTAAAAAAATAAAAAAAAATAATAAAAAATACTTTGGTCTTTCATCTTAATAATAACATGAACGATAAAAAAATTGTTTATCAAGTGTGGAGCTTTTTTTTTTCATTGGGCTCCAGTGACTAGAACCAAAAGTGTTATGTGTTCAATACCAGTTCCCAGCAGAGATGAACCAAAACTTGGAGAGTTGAGTTAAACGGAAATAACTGAGACATCGGGAAGAGGCATGGCATGTGGAATTTGAACAATCTACCCCGGTGAACGAAATAAAGGATTCGGTTCAAAATTCCAATCAACTGAAGAAGCCCGGAGTGTATAAGTACCGAAACGTTGTGAATATGGCATTGAAGATAACAATAAAAGTCCGAATTTATTCTTTTTTAGCGAAATATTAAAACTTCCTAAATTAGCAGCAGCTTTAGCAAGTGATTCAATATAATCTTTCCTCTTTCATCTCAAAGGAAAACTTTAGCACGAGAAGGCACTATATAAATCTATGAGGATAATTCAGATTAGTTTTAAAGCATATAATCCTTGTGTTGCAGCTACCTCTTTAATCTTTTGTCCCAAACAATGACGGGTATATCTACTAGTAGCATTATAAATCCACAATATCCACCTTGTTTAAATTTTAATCCAAAGGCAAAACTAATATTTTCTCTTTATCATTTCAGGTTTAAGCATTCCACGAAGTCATTCGACCGAATACAGTCGGCCATGTGTTGTCAGCCTGGGTGATCAATCCCCAGACGAGGTGGAGAGTGCATTCGGGGGCACAACAGATAAAAACCCGGACCGTAACCGCAAAAGCCGAACCATTACCGTGGTGGACCTGCATGCTTACCCCACGTATCATCGCCACGGCAGTCGGTGCAGCGTCACATCCACCAGCAGTAGCAGTAGCAGTGACAGTACGAGCAGCAGCATTTCCCAAAGCAGCAGCAGTAGTAATAACGGTCGCGGTTATCGCTGTGCCACCATGAACTCTTTGAAAAAATCTATGAGCAGTTACGAGAAAGAGACCAATTATGACTTGCTTGAAAAACAAATGTCCTCTCCGGGACCAAATGGTTGTTGTCACAAAGGAGGCGTTAAAATAAGAAAGGATAAATGGACATCCCGGTTTAAGGAGTTCAAATATCCGTCACTAAAGATGGACAACCCAAAAGACAAACATAAATTATGGGGATGTTTAGTTGTACTAGGTAGCTTTATTACGCACTTAATTATAGGTAAGTAACACTATTTTTTATTTAATTATTCTATATTGATATCTTGGCATTTATGATTTTCAGCAGGAGGAACATCGCAAGATAGGAACAACGATTTAGAGAAAACAAAATCAAGTGCAAAAATCGAAATATCTTGTGAGTCTTTTTAATAGCAGACTGTTATATGTGACGCTGCCAACACTTGAGTTTGAACGTAGATCTCCTGTGAGCAAACACAGGCGATCCCATTATTGAATTAAGTAAACGACGTCACGATAGAGGAAACGCATATATAGATAGAGTGTGTCTAATTGATCCTCATTTCTAGTCTATCCTCTATTACTATTTGGATCTCCATTTCTACTATATCCTCTGTTACAAAACGGAACGCTATTCACTATACTATTTCTATTTTCGGATCACTATACGGATTACTATTCGAGCGAATATTATCGAGCAAGTACTATTAGTGTGAGTGATATTCGAAGGCGTCTGACACCAATATTGTTCAACGGTGTACTATAGTTGTATCTTCGATTACAAAGTCTCTACTACAACGAGCATTACAAAAGTGACAACGGGGGTTCCTTGACAACACAAAAAAGACGAAATATGTGACACTGAAATCCGAAGGCGTACTGGAACAGCGGAAAAACCCTTCCAGAAGCTAAGCTTAAAATAAAATAAAACAGGAAAAAAATTTGATTGGAACAAACTGTACTAGATTGATATATATATATATATATATATATATATATATATATATATATATATATATATATCAGTTTTTCTTTTATGGCATTTAATTTTGGGTAATCTACTCACAGATGAAGTAACGGATATGTGGTTCTACAGAAGCATATTCAGAAAGGCATGTATTGAACATGTGGGTAACGGTGACCTTTTAAGGAAACTGCAATAAAAAACGACGCTTATAAATAGAATAAGAAAGAAACAGTTGAAATTTCTATGACGCATAAGGAAAGGGGGCTTGGAAAATTTGACACTCACAGACAAGAGGAAGAATGTGAAACAGTGAGTAACTTATCTAATGGGCTGTTGTGGGAGGGACGGTGAATATACAAGCATTAATAAAAGCGATAAATGATAGAAAATATTGGAGAGTCGTGATCGTCAAAGAGACAAAGAAGAAGAAGAAGAAGAAGAAAAGGTGGAAGAAGAAAATGAAGAAGAGGAAGAAGTGGAGGAAAAAGATGAAGAAAAGGAAAACGATGAAGTAGAAGAGGAAGTTGGTGAACAAGAAAAGATGATGCAGCAGAAGAAGAAGAAGAGGAAGAAGAAGAAGAAAATAAAGAAGAAGAAGGAGAAAAGGAAGAAGTAGAAGAAGAGGAAAATGAATAGGAGGAAGACGAAGAGGAAAAAGAAGAGTAATATGAAGAAGAAAAAGAAGAAAATGAAGAAGAGGTAAAAAAGAGGAAGAAGAAGAGGAAGAAGGAGAGTAAGATGAAGAAGAGGAGGAGGACGGTGAAATGAAGAAGAAGAAGAAGAAGAAGAAGAAGAAGAAGAAAAGCAACAAGATAAAAAAGACGAAGGAAAAGAACTAGAGGAAGAAGAAGTGTCAGCAGTTATATATCCTGATAATCTGTCGTTACTTCATCCTCTTCCATCCATACACCAACCTCATTCAGCAACCCTCTTCTTTAAAAAGGTTCTTAGGACATGTACTGGGGGAACACACAGAGGTATCATACCCACAAGAGAAAAAAAATACTCAAAGTGTTGAGTGTAGAATTTAATCCAAAAACAACAGATGAATTAAACGAGGAAGAAACTTAGTATCTCAAAGATATCAGTTTAGAAACATAGGATTTTGAATCGATTGGCGTTACGGGTTGTGGAATAATAACTGCGAACTATGTTTTCTAAGAGAAGTTGGAAAGAAGAGACCCTGTGTTTTAGAGAAGTTGATTTTTAAAGGATCTTTGTTTTGCTGACTTATTGGGAAGCTCGCCAGCAACTGGTGAAGTATGTTTTTTGAAGATTGTTTGGGAAATACGTGATATTTTTAGAAAGAAAATAGTATGTTTTAACACATCTTTAAACAAAGGAATCAAACCGTGTTCTTTTTCTTCTTGGATCTATTTATGCTTGTTTGACTATGTTTGATGGCGAAAGGGGTGGGGTCTACTTTTGTGTTTGTTTGGGATGGCACTCACACACACACACACACACACAGACACACACACACACACACACACACATATATATATATATATATATATATATATATATATATATATATATATATATACGTGCGTGTGATATCTGTTAATTAAATTAATCTGTTAATTCCATAGATTTATTTTGCGCTGTCGACCCTATATACGTCATTTGATTTGAATATTTGAAACATCTATTTATCTATCTATCTATCTATTGTAGTCTGTTCTCATCTCGTCTAGACTCTTTCTCTCCCTCCACTCTCGCTCTCTCTCGCTCTCTCTCTCTATATATATATATATATATATATATATATATAGAGAGAGAGAGAGAGAGAGATGAGCAGAACATATATATATATATATTATAGATTTTGACTTGCGGACAAAAAACAGTTATTCACTACAAACTGCATTCTTGCTTCGATGCAATATGTGCATCTTGACTGGTGAGAACCAAAGATGGTTATCAAAAAATGATTTTTAAAAAAAAATGAAGTATATTAGGACAGTGCAAAATTCTCATGTTCTTTTCTGTTTTAATCAAATGCTGTCTTAGAGATAGGACATATCTCATTTGTCTTTCCGCTCATTATTAATATTATTGTTTCTAATTCTTCCACAGTTTATAACCCCTTGTGTCTTAGTGGCTTTACTGCCTTCCATGGTGTGAAACCGATTTTTTAAAATATGAAGTATATTAGTAAAGTGCAAAATTCTCATGTTCTTCTTTTCTGTTAACCAAATGACGCCTTAGAGATCGTTTCGCCTCTGAGGACCTTTTGTCGTATTAAAAATAACATAAAAATTACACACTATTGAAATGGACTAAACTTACTAGATTACGTGCAAGTATACCAAACAAAGAATGAACACTTTTGGAAATATCAGTTCCTCCCAATTTTTCATAGGAATTTGCAGACGCGTACGCACGCAAAAGAACATCTCGAAAGCCATTATTCACTACTTTTTGAATTCTTTCTTTATAATTTGATCAATGATATTATCATACGTAATTGTTTTTATATTCATTTCTCTGGTTTATTTTATTCCAACATTTATTCTAACCTGTTTATATTTCTGAGATGAGGTATTGTGACTATTTACAGTATTTACATTGAAATTTCAACATACACCCTTGTGGAAACTAATTGAAACAAAACAAATAATTCCGTTATTATTTACTTTTTTGTATTTTTGCAATGAAACATAACCCAGTGCACATGTTAATACTTCGTATGTCCATTCCTCGAAGTCGTTCCTTGCAGATTAACCACAAATTCTCGATTGGATTTAAATCCGGAGAGTTTCCTAGTCAGTCTATAGTACTTTGATTTGCTCACTCTAAGTCTTTGCCAGTGTATTCGAGCTGCATTATAATTTTCGGATGCTTCCTTGGAGTAACGGCCATTACAGACAATGGACGTAGGAGAACTAATCGACAGTCGAGATAATAGTGTCTGGGCGTGATAAAAATCTGATACAATCACAGGTGACGCAATATTTTTCAATGTCAAACAAATTTCATCATACACACTGAAAGTAGATTAATATTACTACACACCATTGGAAATCGCTTAATCCGAGGAAAAAATAGAATTCGATTACGCCCTGCTACTCCAGTAGGTATCTATCTGACCGCATGATGAAAGAAAGGAAACTAAAGCGGTTGTTTCAGTTAATTTGCACAAGGGTGTATAAGGATCGATGTCTGAATTAAATTTAACATCCAGTTGATGTTCAAAGCGAGGAACCTCGTTCTGAGTACAACCGTTCAGTGAAGAGGAAACGATACTATTTTTTAACGTCATTTTTCCTGTATAATGAAAATACGTTGCTAATAATATGAAACAACTATATTGCGAATTTTGGTATAATAACACATTGTAAATAATATTATAATAGAATTGCATTGCTAATTATTTTCTTGTAAACAGTATAAAAATCAAATAGAAAACGATTGGAAGGTGTCGTGAATTCAGGCAAGCGTTACGAACAGACATTGCATGTATAATAACAATAAAAGATTTTATTATCGTCTCAATCTAAAAAGGAAAACGAAGACAGAGAAATGAAACAGGATCAGATAATTTATTTTTATCACGAATTAATTATATTTGGGTCACCTTCTTAGAAAGAAAATACAGTTGGTTTCAATTACACATAAAGTAAATTCATACCTCACATATGTCTAAACACAAGAAGCGAAGGTTTTGTTCTTATGAGCTTATATATATCGCATATTAAACAATTTTGTTCGAAGGGCAATTGACAGACAGAGAAACAATTGACAGACAGACAAACAATTGACAGACAGACAATTGGCAGATAGAAAGACAGACAATCGACAGACAGAAAGACAGATAATAGACAGACAGAAAACAGGCAATTGACAGACTGAAGGGCAGGCAATTGACAGACAGACTGAAAGATAGACAATTGACAGACTGACAGAAAGATGGACAATAGAGAGACAGACTGAAAGACGGACAATTGACAGACTGACAGAAAGCCAAGCAATTGACAGACAGACTGAAAGGCAGACAATTGACAGACAGACTGAAAGACAGACAGATAGATGGACAATTGACAGACAGACAGACAGAAAGACATACAATTGACAGCCAGAGAGAAAGACAGACAATTGACAGACTACACAGATCTGTACCACTGGTTTCAGCAGAGCACACAAAAAGCTATTATCGCTGGTGGACATACAGTCAACGCCGAAATTCGTACTTCCATCAATTTTTAATATTTTTATCTATTTCCCAGAATCTAATGCCCGTATGATGCCAGGTTTTGTATATGTTAGTAAGCTCACAAATAAGGAATATAAAACTCAATTTTCTTGGAGGTAAAATGCAATGTTGGAAGACTTTCTTAGAAAACAGGGTCCAATGAATAATATAATAATAATACTCTTCAAATATGCGTGAAATTAAGTAGAATTCATCATATTTTTTGCCTAGTAGAACTTCTGCCAAAAAGCGGGTCACTGGATAACTAGTTATAGTATTTTATAAATAAACAAAACGTCAGTTGACCTCTTTGATTGACTGACTCATGAGTAAAAGGCGTTTCGACGCGAAATTCAATCAGATATTCCAGTTGTACTTTCATTGAATTATCGAATATTTTGAATATATAATATGCAATAGATGGCTGTGTTTGTTTGTAGAAGCTGTTGAAAGGTTTTCTACCCGCCCATAGACAATGCCTTAGGGGCATGATACGCCCATGTTTGACATGTCGTTACTGAATTCTTTATCAGCAAAAAATAAGAACTAAATAATGAAATACAGACTTTTGGAATTGGGTTGGGTCGTAAATATTTCAGAAATATTTTGTACCTTTTCTATTTCTTTAATTTCCGCTGTGATATAATCAAAACGACCCTCTGATTCGATCTTACCTCGTGGTACCCTAACAATTTAATCCTTACCATTCACCTGAAGAGGCACAACGCAGTGCCGAAACACTGAAGTTATTGTGTACCGATTTCAACACGTTTCTGTTATAATATTTAAAATAATAATAATAATAATAATAATAATATATATATATATATATATATATATATATGAATAGTAATACTCGTTTGGAAAACCTCGGTTAGCTCAACTTGTAATATAACAAATTGATGTCCGAGAAAAACATTGGAAATGAAAAAGAACTAAGAACATAACACTGTACGAATCCTCTCAAGTGCGTAAGCCCCAAGTCCAAAGAAAAAAAGCATCTAAACAAATAAAAGACTAAACGTAAAGTGCTCAATACATTAAGTACAGCAAAAACTCTCTCTCTCTCTCTCTCTCTCTCTGTATATATATATATATATATATATATATATATATATATATATATATATATATATTAAGGAATTAAGGATTTTTTAATCCTATATTACATTATTTCTTATGACTATCAAAGTTTTATTCCTGAGTACATGTGTTTGAGTAAACAGTGAAATTAATGTCTACAGGACTAGAAATAGAAAGACTGTCTCAGAGTTCAAAACTGAGTGCCGACACTCTGTTTCAAGCTTGAATTCACTCTACAGACGTGAAACTTGCTGTTAATGCCACTCGCTGGTGACATCTGTGTTCACTCTTATGATTATACATGCTCTATGCCGGATATTGACAAATGTTACCCATAAATATCTTAAAATTATATATATATATATATATATATATATATATATATATATATATATATATAGTGTGTATGTGTGTGTATGTGTGTATTTAGGCAGAAATCCTTCTTTCATGCACATGCGAACTATTTTTTTTTCTTTTTCTGTCCGAATGATCTTTTTATTAGACCGCTTTCGGCTATACATTTAGCCATTTTCAAGGATTAAATATTTCAATTGTTAAATAAGAAATAGTTTGTTCTATGTATGTTTTATAAAATGTTTTCATTTTTAAAAAAAATATTTTGTCCATGTTCAAAGTTAATACTATTAAGTGTTGGATTTTTTTTGTTTTCATTAATAAGGCTTCCATTATTTTTAGCCTTTTTGTATGTAGGTGACGCTATTATATTAGTATTGTCAACAAGTATGTTACGAATAGTGTCTGATAGGTCCCCATGAATATTTAAATGAGATCTCTTTGAGCTATGGTCAAAAAAGGTGTAGAGTGAGGAGGCATATATAATATATATATATATATATATATATATATATATATATAGTTATCCACAGATACACTGTTTCGCTGTATCACAGCTTATCACTGTATTATCATATATATATATATATATATATATATATATATATATATATATATATATATAAACGTGAACATTGATGTCAACACTCAAAAGGCAACAGGCTGTTTCATGCTGGAAGCAGTCGTCAGTCCGCCTGACGATTGTGTCCAGCATGAAAACAGACAGTCGTCTCTGAGTGCTGACTTCAATGTTCACTTTTATATTTATATTTACATACGCTCTATCTCTGATATTGAGCACTTTATCCAATAAATAGAGCACACCTTAAAATCATATTTCTTCATCTTCATATATATATATATATATATATATATATATACATACGTACATTGTTGCAACCGAGCAAGTTTCGCATCCTTTTTTGTAGACCGTTGACTGCTGGTTTTTAAAAAGATTTTTTTTCATTTTTGCAATGTGCTTTGGCGTTTTTTATTACTCGTTACACAATCCTTTTTTACCAGCTGAATAGCAATAATGGAAAAAGAAGTATAAACATAGATGTGCAATACATACATGCATACATATATATATATATATATATATATATATATATATATATATATATATATATATATGCATGAAGTATTCTTTATTGTTCTGTCTCTTGACATATAACGTTTATAGCTTCTCCATCAGCCTTATTTATCCCATATTTATAAAACCTGTGGGAATTGACAGTTTCTTGTGAAGGTTATCAAAATATGTATCAGGTTTTTGCTGGAATGACTGCTTTAGTCGTTTGGGTCGGATAGATTGCCCATATGCTTAACCTAATTTCCGTCAATTTAACATTATTCGGCCACTATCATATAAATGACATCTCTAAAACATATTTCTCCTTCTTTCAAGTGTTAGTGAGGTATAATATATATCTCAGATTTATATTATACCTCACTAACGCTTCACAATCTGCGAGTATCTCGGATTAGGTTTATTTTCGTCTCTTTAATGTTCTTAATAGGCTTTTATAAAGCTGGTAATAAGCCTAGTTCATATCAATTTCATATCATTTTAAACTGTTATCCATAAGGCTTATAAGAACACCACCTTGAAGCACTGGTCCCCGTACGATCACAGAAGTTAAGTAACGTCGTGGCTGGTAGTACTAAGTTGGGTGACCGGTTGTAAATACCAGATTCTGTAAGTTTGGATGTGCGGTTGGTGTAATTAATAATGGCTCGGTATTCTTAATCGAAATGCCGAGTTCTAATTCTGTTTGGGTTCGTTATATTCACTTACGCGCAAATATCCCTAGAAAAAGTATGATCCCACGATTTCTCCCCCCCCAGATATGGGTTAATTAATAAGACTTGTATCAAAAAATCATTATCTACCCCACCAAAAAATCTATTATTTTCTTGCTCTAAACATCCTACAATTTGTTCGTAAGCCGTAGAAAACGAAATAATCAATCGAATAAGCGTCCCTTCTCTTAAATAAACAAGCCACGCCATATATAATCTGGCTTTGCCATATTTACGGTGAGAATTTCTCAGTGTCTTCATTTGTACATCTAAAGCCGCTCCGTCTTTTGTTTCGGGTCACGATAGTGTCCAAAAATGTCTCCGCGCCCTTGTGGGCGATGAATGATTTTCCACCATACAACCTCTTTCTCACAAACGAAAAGTCTCAAGCCTCTCGCAGCTCTATCGCTATTTCCATGGCAAGTGTTCAGATGAACTACATTCCTTACTTTCAACAGTTCTAACCTTCACAGCTAGGAACCAACATGCGACACATTTCCATTGGTGAGACTTCCACCCGAGATGCTTCTTTTCAAGAACCACTGCTTTGTTGAGCCGACTCCCAAGAGGATGCTTCCCTGATACCTACGACCTGATCAAGTCTAGAATTAACCGATAACTTCCACACATATCCGCATAAGCCCTCTACCTCGAGTGGCTCTCGGACCTTGTAATGCGTGAACATCAATTTAAAAATAAGTAAGAAATTAATTTAGTAAATATTGATTGTAGATTCGTAGAACTGTGTATGGTGTTATTAAGATAAAGTGATTTTGTTACGCGAAACTTTTCTGTGGAAAAGGTCATGTCTGCCATGAAAAATAAAATAACCTCACTTTGCCTCCTCTACCAGGGATAGTAATCCGCTTCAGAATAGTAAACCCATGCCAAATGGCCCACATGTCACTCTGTTTTGTGGCCCGAGGGAGAGAGAGAGAGAGAGGGAGAGAAAAAAAGGGAGGGTGGGAGGTATATTTTACAATGTATTTGTGAAAGCGGAAGTAACTTGTCAATGAGTCGGTGTTCGTTTGTGACCAAGGATTTAGAATTGAAAATAAAACCAAAGTGAAAGACAATAAATAAACAAGAACAAGAAAAGTGGGGAAAGAGAGAGAGAGAGAGAGAGAGAGAGAGAGAGAGAGAGAGAGAGGAGAGGAGAGGATAAAACTTAACCCGTGGAAAAGATAAGGGAATTTGGCCGGAACATAAGGTGCAGGCATTCTCAGAGAACGAAATTTGAAGCGAGTTCCGAAAAAGAAAAAAACAAAAATCAAAACGGAAAAGCAAGAAAGAATCTGAAGACGAATGAAATAATGGCAATTTGTTTACCCGAAAGAATTTGAGAAGATAATGTATTCTTTGTGGAAGGATATCCGAACAACGTTATCAATTATTATACGGATGTGTTTTGTGCTTACTTAAGACAAAAACCAGCGTAAGTTTGGGCTAATAGTGACGAAAGTTTAATTCAAACATTTAAACATATTCATTTTACTAATATCATTCTGTCAATCCACCTCTGCATCGCTCTCCCTCTCTCTCCCTCATTCTCTCTATCACTCTCTCTCTCTCTCTCTCTATATATATATATATATATATATATATATATAGTGGCCTGACGATTGCCTCTAGCATGAACAGCATGTCGCCTCTAAGTGTTGACTTCAATGTTCACTTATATATATATATAATATATATATATGTATATGTATGTATGTATATATATATATATATATATATATATATATATATATATATATATATATATATATATATGTGGCCTGACGATTGCCTCTAGCATTAAACAGCCTGTCACCTGTAAGTGTTGACTTCAATATTCACTCATATATATATATATATATATATATATATATCCTATTGTTATTATTTTTGGCCTTTCCCTTGGTATAATATCATAGAACCGTATCTTGAACTTACGACCTTCGATGTCAACATAACAAAATATCATCTTCGATGGCGAATATCTTTGTTAAAATATCCGCATAAACCCTCTGAAGATGGCTCATGTGATCCGAAACCTTAGAAACCTCTCTCTCTCTCTCTCTTTATATATATATATATATATGTGTGTGTGTGTGTGTGTGTGTGTGTGTGATAGAAATTAGGAAGATTTGAGATAATTATAATTAAATAATTCATCGAGTCTAGAAGAAACCTCAACAGAATGCACTGGGAGGCCGTTTCGACCTATATTTGGGACTCATCAGCAGTGCACATCCACTACCGAGAATTAAAACCCTGACAGTTACATTATGCAAACGCCATACAAACTGATCCAACGGGTGGCGAAGAGGTAACGAATATTTATATATATGTGTATGTGTGTGTGTCTGTGCTCGCGTGTGTCAATCAGTCAGTCACAGGATGTTGCTTTGTATTTGCTTCAACCTATGCTAAGTACTATCGCCTAAAAAAAAATACAATCATAGTAGTGAAACATGTAAGCTTTCGTGTAGCGATTTCAACGTGTTTTTATTATAATCTCTTAGAATAAAAATATAACATAATAATATAATAATAATTGCTCTACATAGTATTGAGCACTGTTTTAAAAGTAAATTGGACGAAAAGTGGATTTTTACTCCATCTGTTCATTCCCTCATTTGAAACACACACACACACACACACACACACACACACACATATATATATATATATATATATATATATATATATATATATATATATATATATATATATGTACTGCATTTCCTCAATTAAGCGTCCTTTCTCAAATCAACGCCTCCTTCCAATAACTGCTGCCTCCATTGAGAAGAAATTTTTAAATCACCGCTGACTTTAAATAAGCAACACCCATAATACAATAATTTTTTTTTTCATATTTTAAATATACGCACCCTTGCACATGAGTATAGAATTTGTTTATATCAACTTTCAGGGGCGGAACAAATTAACCATATATTGTTTAACTTTGGTCCGATTCTATAAAAAATAACAAAGAAATAGTTATAATACATGCTTCTCTTAAATAGCTCGATGGAAGAGGAGACATGTCACAAGACGTTGCCTTGGAGGCCGTTTTCATGGAAGGGTTAAGTCATTTAGGAGGAGAAAACTGCATGTTTCGTGAGGCTAATAGTGTTTAAAGCAAAACAAGCGATCGGATCTGTAACGATGCGATTAAATGTATTCTTTGTTCGTTGAAGTCAGTTGGAAAAAAATACGTAACGGTATAGACAATCATTATAATGAAAAACCACAATTCCTCAGGATCCTGAAGAACTTATAGATAAATTAGCCCCTTGTTGTGCACACCCTTGTACAAACTAATTGAAACAATACGAATAATTCAATTATTATTTACTTTTTTTCGTAATTTTCCAATGAAACATAACCCAGTGCGTATGTTAGTACTTTGTATGTCCATTCAATGAAGTCGTTCCTTGCAGATTGACCACAGATTCTTGATTGGGTTTAAATCAGGAGAGTTTCCCAGCCAGTCTGTAGTACTTTGATTTGCTCATTGGTAAGACTTGCCAGTGTTCTCGTGCAGAGTTACAATTTTCGTACGCTTCCTAGGAGTAACGTCCATCGCACACAATGGCCGTTGGACAACTAATCGAAAGACGAGACAATAGTGTCTGGGTGTGATGAAAATCTTATGCAATCACAGATGACGCAATATTTTTCAAGGCCAAACAAATTTCATCATACACCCCGAAAATAGATTCATATCACTTCGCACCACTGCAAATAACTTAATCTGAGAAAAAATAGAAATCGATTACACCCTGTCACCCCAGTCTAAAACTGATCGTATGTTGAAAGAAAGGAAACTAAAGTGGTTGTTTCAATTAATTTGCACAAGGGTCTAGGACAGATGTCTTTGAAATTTCCAAATGTTTCGTCACTCTTTTTTGAAAACCTTGTTAAAACCTTTTTTGGCCTCTATCCACCATGGATTCGAAATTTTGAAACGCAAAACTTTAGAATAAAAATGAAATCTCAAAATCTTTTTTTTAATCACAATAAAAGTGTAATCTTTATATGCAAGCAATTTGAGGTCACGGATTATTATTTACCATTCATCTAATTTACCCAGGATATTGTTACAGTTTTTTGTGTATACTATGTAACTAGTGAGCCAATCCAAATGCCTTGACTCGCTTTATAGTCCACCAATAGAAGGTTATCCAATCAGAAGCCGCAGAACATTGTATCCGTCGTGTATAAAGGCGGCCATTTTTGTTTACTCTACCCGAATGACCAGTGCCAACTTGTCAGGCGAAGATGACAGAAGGAAGTACTACGCTCTGCTACTTTGCTGCGATATCCACTGCTAACCTGAACTACGCTTTCATACTGTCTCCGAAATATTCACTGCTAACCTCTGGATTCTATACTTGAAGACGACCGTCAAAATGTCTAACAGATATTACCGCTCTTTCCAGACTATTAGTACTGACACTGCTTACACTTGATATTTAAACTGTTTGGTCTGTCTAAATTTTCTGGGGATAATAATTTAGGCTAAAAGGAACTGAATGGATTTTGATAATATAATTTATAAAAGATGCAGAACAATTGACTAGGTTTGGGGTTACAATCTATTGCCCTGCCGTCCTGTTTTCAGAGCGCGAGCATTTATAGGTAATGTGTTTAGGGAACAATATATTTTGAAAGACTTATACATCTTGGTAAAAATGTTTTATCATTTTTGTTTGAAAAATATTTTATCCTTCTTATTTATTCTGTTTTTATAATTTACTATCGATTAGAATAATCACTGAAGGTAATTGTTCCATTTGCTTCATATCATGGCCTTTCAAAAATTCCCCCTGAAATAATCTCCTCCCTTGAAAAAGCTCCTCTTCGATTTCTAAATAGGGAATCCGGGTGATCAATCGAAAAAAATA